CTACGTCAGCATATTTGAGACTCTTTAAAGCTGCAGAAAGAGAGAGACTTAGTCATGATTAAACAATGCAGGTAGATAAATTGTATTCCAGCTCTTAAGTAGCTTCTGGAACATAAGGCGAAAACACTACCCCGGCCTAATGTGACCTAAGGTGACATCGCTGATTATGGAGTTTGTTTGTTTGTTTGTTTGTTTTATTTCTTGTTAGTAAAACTTTGTTATTTTAAGACATTCTGTCAGCTATTGATAAATTAAATCTCATACTAATTCTCTGATTATCAAACCAATGTCAGGGGTTGCTGAGTGGATGTGGAGAAAAGGACTCAAACGCAGGACTCACGGTGAAGATTCAGGGTGTTTATTGTGAGGGACGAATGACGAAAACAGGAGATGGCTGACTGACTGAATAACTGAATGAACGGCTGACTGATCTGAACTTGGAAGGCAAACATGGGTCATAGACAGCAGTGACAACATCAATGACGCGACGCCGACCAGGAGACAACTGAGGACTTAAATACACTGGCTGAACAATGACTGATAGGTGACAGGTGAGTGAGCAGCTGAACACAATTGAACTAATGATGCATGGAATAAGAACTAGAACATAATGCACACAGAGTAACGTAACACAAAACAGGAAGTGGAACGTACAGAGGATAAACAGTGAACATGAACTGAAAATACTGGGTCAACGACCCAGAAACCCTGACAACCAATTCTTTAGGGACCCCATAAAGGAACTTTGGATCCTGAATTAGGGAAGAGTTTTGAATTCCAGAATACCTAATCGGAGTTCTTTATCTTTCAACCACAAGAAAATATAAAAATTTGTATGTCGCCAGAATTTTCAACTCTATATTGAAGACTTAGGACATGAAAACAATGGGAAGACCACTTAAAAAAACAGAGAAGTTCAGCTTTCTAGGAAAAACGGCACTAAAGTCCCTTTAACATTGAAAACATGCGCTGGGTAAATCTCTGCCCTACAGGATTAAGTATTTTCTACAAAATTTGTAAAAATGTCTTGACAAGAAATGATCCGAAGGGTTTTTTTGAGTCTGTACCGATGCTTCTGTGTCTGGATTTAAGCTTAATGATTGCTTACACAGTCAACCACCAGTTTATAAGGTACGGCGAGGAAAGACTAACACACTCTGATACAGTTTGAATTCATTTCCCAAAAATATCTTATGAGGACTGTAAAAACTTTGATATTTGTAATAAAAATTGTTAAATGGAAAAAAGCGATATTGTGTTATACTGATGGACGGTTCTGTTTATTGATGTCAATAGGGTGGACAAAATAATGGAAACATCTTTCAGTATAATGCAATACAATACAGGATAAAGCTGAATCTAAACCTCTCTAAAACCAATCTTTCATTTTAAACCATTTTAAACCTTCAATCACTTTTTGTTGTACTGATTTTATTTACTGATTTATTGTAGGACTGTTGTATCATAATACCAAGGATTATTAATTAATTTTAATTTTGAAGGTTAGTGGCAAGGTTTGCAGAGAGACACCTTTAGAAACTGGCTGAATAAAAAAATATGTCTAAATCTTCATCATATTGAAGTATTCTTCTAAAGGCAAATATGAGACAATCTGAGAGCCTAAATTAACATATATATATATATGTACTTACTGGAGACCTAAATACCTCACATATGAAGTATTTAGAAATTCTACTGCAGGGTCAGCACCTAACTCAGAGGTTATTGTGCCTTGGCGCACACTTGGTGCCAGGTGGCTTGCTGTCCTGTGCGTCATTTTGAAAATTCCTCACAGCAGATACAGTAAGAGCTGGTGAAGTGGCAAAATGGCATTTTGAGATATCGTACTGATGTTGTAAACGTCTGAAATGTCAAGCAGCAGATTAAATTGAAAAAAGTTGTGTAATTTGAATGTAAATTTGAAACTGCTTTTAATGCAGATGTAAAACTGCTAATGCCAAACTTAAAAAAAATACATTTTATTTTAACTCCTTTAAATTTTGCTCACATGGTGGTATTGCTTTCTAATTTACTAGATTCTGTGTGCGTGTATGTGTATGTGTGTGCATGTTTATGTGTGTGTGTGTGTGTGTGTGTGTGTACAGAAATTCTGTTTCTGATCACTTTCGTATATAGCGACTAAATGTAAAATTGTGCACAGTGTGTGTAAGAATGACTTCATGCACATGAATGTCAATGCCTTCAAAAACGTGAGCGTCAATAGTTGTCCGTGTGTGTGTAGGAAATTGCGTTTGTCTAAATGTCTTTCTGAGCACCTACGTAGATATATTCCAAGTGTGTGCAACATAATACACATTAACCCACTCATTCCCACAGAGCTGGACATGAAAAAGTAACACTTCTAATAAAATTGTTAATGTAGAATTGCAGGAAGATACCTAGACATACACACACATGCACACACACTTCTAACAGCTGGAAATGGTGTGTGTGGAAATGAAGTGGTGTGTGTGTGTGTGTGTGTGTGTGTGTGTGTGTG